GTTTCTAGGGAATGGACTAGCGTAGGGTGCAGTTTATAGACCCGGCCCAAGGGACTGAAAGCACGTAGTCGCAGCTGCGGGCGCAGTGCACTACAGCCGCACCGCTTGCGTGTGAAGCTCTGTCCATTTGAAACTGACGTCTTTACGCGTTAGATCCACCAGCGGCCGGGCGACGTCTGCATAGTCCGGTCCCATGAACATGCGACAGTAATTTATGGTACCGAGAAACTGGCGCACTTGCGTTTTGTTCTCCAGCACCTCCGGCCAATGCCGGATGGCTTCGATTTTGTCTTCTGCGGGTTTGATCCCCGTAGCAGATACAGTATAACCCAAATATGTAATGGTTTGCCTTGCAAACTTGCATTTGCGGAATTTTGGGTAAAACTGATGTCGAAGAAAAATACTTAGGAGTTGTCGCAGAAGAGAGACGTGCTCAGAGAGATCAGAGCTATAGATAAGCACATCATCCAGGTACGCGATCACGCCCTGTCCCAATAAGGGTTGTAAATAGGCATTAATATTGGCCTGGAACGTAGCGGGAGCTCCCTTAAGACCGAAGGGCATCACGCGATACTCGAATAGCCCGAGAACGGACAGGAAGGCCGTCTTCCACCGGTCTTCCTTAGGCATACGTATTTGATGGAATCCTGCTTCCAGGTCCAAGGTGGAGAAATACTTGGCGCTTCAGAGCAGCTCCAGAATGGTTTGAATGGGAGGTAGTGGAAAATCAGGGGCTATCGTAAGCGCATTCAAGGCTTGATAATTGACAACCATCCGCATCTTCCTCTCCCCGGAGCCATCATCACGCTTGTCCACTATGATCGTAGGGGAGCAAATAGGCGAGTAGGTAGGTCCGATCCAACCATATTCCGATAATTTGGCTATCTCCTGTTTGTGGAAAGTGAGCTGATCTGGGGTCATACGGTATATTGCAGATCTCGCTGGAAGTTTCCCAGGCGCCGGGAGAATATGATGATCATGAGGGCGCTTCGGAGGTAACCCTTTAGGTAAGGTATCGGGGAAAACCGCCCTATACTCGTGCAGCACCTGAGCAGCCTCACTTGGAATATCCTGCGCCTCAGTTGAATGGATCCATTCGTCGAATAGGGTGTGTTCGAGTTTTGCCATAGGCCAGGGAGACTCCTCGTCACTCTCCGCTGTCACCGAGGCGGTTGAGGCCAAAGGACTACGGCCGCCGGAGGACGTGGGTGGCTCCCTATCAACGCGCAACAAAGCGCGCCTTTCCATTCATCCGAGAGTCTTAAGGGCACTGCCGAACAAGCCTCAGGCAAAGCCAGTGTGAGGTGCAAAGCGTACAACGGAGTCTTGAGATCGTTAGCATCGTCCTTGTACCTCTTTGGCGGCGGGCGGAGGAATACAGCTGCCTCCTCGGCTGACACACCCGCCACTTGTTTGGCCAAGATCTCGTAGGCTTGCTCTGCTGGAGTCCGAGGATGGGCTACGGTGGAACCATCGCTTTGCAGCGTCGATTCACCCGTCCGAACGACTGGTAGCTCGCACCACTGGCCATTCACATAGGTCCGGAGTTTGTCAGACTGGAGTATTTTTATTATATATAATATTATTTAAATAATATAGTATATTATCCAGCTGCACCTTCCAGTACTGCTACCTTGTTACGACTGCACCCCAGTTGCTAATTTTTATTTATTTTCTTAAACAGAAGTTTCAATAATAATTAATTTCCATGAAGTACCAGGCCACCTTGTGTTCCGTCAGCCAATCCAAACCCAAGACTAAGTCGCAGGGAACGGGTCCACTAGAAAGTCCCGGAAAAACGTGTATGTCCACACCACAACGTAAATCCCGTCACTACCCGATAAATGCGCAATAGTGCACCTGCAGCTACAGTGAACTTATGAACTTTTTTTAGACAGTATTAACTTTTTAAAAGTAACATATATATGCACTTATCAGAGATTACTTCTAAGTATGTTTGAACTTATGAACT